TCTTTATGCACCAAGAGCTTGTAACACTCCAAAGAGAAAGGAAAAATTGAAATCGCATCATATGACCCCTTTAAAAAAATATACTGTCTTTATGTTGTTTCTACATTAATCTGAAGATTGAATGTGAAATTATTGCAGTATAAAAGTACATTTAAAAATTTGAATGTTAGGTGGGATTAATCGCGATTAATTTCAGAAAAAATGTGCGATTAGTTATGGTTTTTTAATCAATTTACAGCACATATATATATATATATATATATATATAGCAACATAAATCGTTTTAAAATTACAGTACAGAAATGGGCGTTTAATCATCATAAAATTAATGTCACAATACAATAAATCATAATGGTCTTTGTTTTCTTCATGCAAAATATATTTTCTTATTTTTTTCTTCTAGAAAATAAGAGTTTAAAAGTCACTGTGACCAGTAAAGTATCACTTTTTAACACGTTTTCTCATTTATTTTATGTTGTAATGCTATAGGGATTAGCCAGCTGCTGAAGTAGTTCTCACAATACAGTTGCTTTATTATCTAAGTGCCTGATCTATGAAATGTAAATGTCATTATTTACAGTTCATGTGTGAGTATGTTTGATTGTAACAGTGAGTAATATAAGTCTACTTGTGTCTCTTCCAGCTGAGTATTGTGTTTTTCCCCTGGCCTCAGAGAGCTCAGCGCTGCTGGACTCCAGCCCTCCGGAGTTCCCCCCCTCTGCCAAGAGAGCTCGTCTCAGCCTCTGTAAGGCCAAACCTGGCACTGAGGACGTCTACAGCAGAGGTTAGAGCTCACACATGTGCTATTATTTATGTTCATGTGTGACTGCTGCACACCAAATGTGATGTTAAAGGATTAGTTCACCCAAAAATGAAAATTTACTCACCTTCAGAACCCAAATGAAGATATTTTTAATGAAACCAGAGAGATTTCTGTCCATCCATTTAAAGTCTAGGAGTAGGTAATAAAATGTTATAGGTTTGGAGTGGCATGAGGTGAGTAAATGATGACAATTTTTTTCATTTTTGAATGAACTAGCCCTTTAAATGACACATGTGAATGCAAATGATTAATTGATGTCTAAATGGTCAAATTCCTATATGAAATCATGTGTTTTTTTTTTATTTTGCAATTCTGAACAATTAATTCAGCCATACAAACCTTTTCAGACAATATTTGCAATATACTTTTGTGCAATTGAGTAGCATTGGACTTCATTGAGCTTTAACTCTCATAATGTGTTCCTCATGACTGGCAATTCATCTGCTTTTCAGAACAAATGGTCCATGAAGTTTTGAAGAATCACAGAAGTATAGAAGGTGTGTAATGTTGCTACCTGTTACAGGTACTGCCTTCACCCAATAAAAAACACATTAGGAGCCATTCACACAGAACTTTGCCATAAAAGAAAACTTGAGGTATAGGGCAGTGGACTGAAAAACGGCAAGGTCTTAAGAAAGTTTTTTTATACATTGAACTAGACTCCATTTATTTTGAGTTGCGCGTCATGCACGAGGTGCTGCAAAAGATGCAAACACAGTGGTCAAATGTGTCCATTTAGCACGTTTACATAGAAAAACAATAAAAAAGCAGTGCGGCTGAATGCAAAAACGTGGCTCCCAACAGTGCTCCATCATACTGCATTGGCGCCTCAGGTGATCCCTTCTCTTTACTGTTCTCCTCTGTCTTCTCCTGTTATTTCAGCCTCCATATATTTCAAAAAATATTTGCTTGCTATATATATATATATATATATATATATATATATATAGTGCCGGTAAAAATATTTATATTTTTTT